TGTGTCTCAGTGAGACGAGACTGAAATGCTCCAAACATATAACGCAGAGATGGAGAGCTGAAGAAATAAAGGCTCCTCAGAAGATGTGAGATGTTCTGGAGGCTTGTGAAGATCATTCCTCCGCTGAGGAACAGTGAAAGTAAAGCTTCTGGAAACAAACGCTCCTCAAAAGATCCTGAGGATCAGATTTGAGACTCTAAAACATGATTGATGGAGAATCAAGTAAAGCTGAGCTGCTTCAGTCCAGTAAGAGTTCATCTGGAGATATTACTGCAGTTAAACTAAAAGAGATTTTAAAAAAATCTCTCGATAAAAGGCACGGAGTAGATTGTGTGCGACAGGTTTAACAGCAAAGGTTGATCATGTTGATTATTTAGAGACCTTAGAGACCATTGTCAGTGTTTAACTGGCTTGATTGTACTGCTTATCTTGTTTTGTGTGCATGCATTGCTTTTTCACTCTCACATACAGTTCTTATATACGTATGTATTAAGTTTAACTTAAAGCTCATTTATTCTATGTTCACTATAGTTTCTCTATCAAACTGCTGAATCTATAAATTCGTGTGAATGATGTGCATTTCTCTGGATTCCCTTCTTGCCTGACGTCAGTCGCCATTTGTGACGGTTACCACGGCAACCACTAGCCTCCCCTAGAGATATATCTAGTGATGCATTCAGTTCTGATGTTGCCTTTTGCATTTGCAGTACTGTACATACTGTACACCTGTGGCTCTTACTATGGTAAACATCTTTGCAGCATTGCTGGCGAAAAATGTATTGAATGCCTTTTCGACAAAAAATAATTTTTTGTACCTTTAGATATTCTCTGAAAATAAATTATTAGCATTCATTTTTCAGGTTGTTTTACCATTACTATTTTAGAAGACACATTTGGATATATGCCTGTGTTCGAGACAACAAAAGCAGGGTATGCTCTCCACATTAACACGTCTATTTATAGCCACTGCTGCATCTTTTTTTAGATCATGCTATTGATGTTCTGCTGTCTCGGTGCTCGTCCTTCACAGTCTTCATGATTTTTCTAATGCATGTAGTGTTAGAAAATATTTGACAATCATATTTCCCTATAGAAATGACAGATGTTGATAATAACAATATGAGCGCAGCTGTGACCCCATCTGGCCGAAATCCTGAAACCTTTTAAGAAGGGTAAAGCCCTGAAAGACCCCATACCATCTCTGACAGAGAACAGATCGCTTTCAACTCACTGCATCGATTCCACACCCACTGCTCACTTTCATTGATGCCATTAAGTATTAAGCATTTCCGAATGTGAGTGCATTATCATACATTTTGAAATTGAGTTTTTGTTTAGTGAATTAAACAACATATACAATATAATGATAATGTGCGCAGTTTTTGTGTAATGCATTTCTATCGGTGCAATATGTTTGTGGTTGCATGTGCAAAAATAGTGTATATAGTACTACAGCTGCACGATTAATCGAAATAAGACGTGTTTCAGAGTGAAGCGCAGCACTGTGTTCATTTATATGCTCAGGGGATACCTGCGGTTTTCCATCAAATAAAAATGTGTTGGTTTAACTCTGAAAATTAAAAAAGTATGACAGGCATCAATATTAGTATTGTAATTTTACACTAACAATTTAAAATAAAATTATTGTTATTTTTCTTAAACATTAATTTTATTTTACAGTGAAATATTACAACAGTGATATGTATTTTGTTTAGTGCTTTAGTCATTTTTATATTTTTTATTTAATAATAATAATAATAATTTGCCATATTAATATAATCACAAAATGTTGTCCAAATTGTGCAGCCCTAGTCCAATAATATTTCTTGTTTTGTTTTTATTTAGTGATTCTAATATTTTTATTTAGGTGTAGTAATAATAATAATAATTATTATTATTATTAATAGCCATATTAATATTTTTACAACATTTTTGGCCCAAAATTTAAAACTTTCTTCAATATTAATATTTCTTGTTTTGATTTTATTTAGTAATTCTAATATTTTTATTTAGGTGTAGTAATAATAATAATTATTATTGTTATTATTTATAGCCATATTAATATAATCACAACATGTTGGCCAAATTGTGCAGCCTTAGTCCAATATTAATATTTCTTAATCTCTTTTTATTTAGTAGTAGTAATAATAATAGTAATTATTATTAATATTCTATTAGCTATACTGACATAATCACTCGATTTTGTCCACATCTGGCA